TTTTATGGCCAGATTGGCCACTTCAACCAAACAGTCAAAAAAGAAATCTCCCTTGCCATTGGTCAGTTTTTCGTGGGCAAGTTCACTACTGTAAATTGATTTACAGTAGTGAGGAAATACAGTAGTGACCGTATATTTTCCCATAATCCTTTGTTGTTTAGAGTAAAATACTGTATACACATTTTACAGTATCTTACTGTACATATTACAGTAAAATACTGTTCAAATTACAAAAATCAGTTACAGTGCAGAGTTACCGACCGCGTTTTATTCGGGAATTTAATCCCGCGTCGCAAGAAATCTGGTCGGTTCCCGCGGGAGAGCCGCGGGAATGCAGACCTCTAATGTACACTACCAGTCAAACGCTTGGACTAAATTTATGTTTCTCATTACAATTTTGATCTAACGGTTTCTGCTTAAATGCTTAAAATTAGTTTTGCAGAATTGTGACTACATATGAATTTCTTTACAAAATGAACATTTTAAAGTTTTTTTTAAACCCTTTTTTTGTGCTCTCTTTACAATTTTTTTAAACATCAAATTTTGAAGGAAAACACGACAACTGGAGTAAAGAAGGGACTCTTTTATTCTTACCTTCATACTAGTTCATAGTCTGAAAAGTCCACTCAAACCACTCAAAAAACTTGATAGAAGTCAGCAATACATAATAGTAGGATGCGCCATGCAATGCTAAAGCCTTTATGCAAACAGGTCGCGTGCTGCATTCATCCAATTAATGACACTGATAGGCTATCACAAATTATGCAAATAGGGATGTTAACCCAGGGTTTTAAATTTATGCTTTTAAATGGATGAGTTTTAGCAAGTAGAGGGAGAAGCAAGTGCTCATCATACAGATTCATCCTTAAAAGTTCCTCCTGCAAGCATCCCAGGATGTACCTCGTGAAGTTGGTTCATGTCCAGAGTGAAGCAGACAAAGAAATCTAGACAAAGAAGCTGAAATATAATTATATTTCAACTTTTTTGTCTGCTTATAGTAACAGTAAAGTCATGAAATAACACAAATGGATATACAGTATATCCCTAATGCACCAGAGAAACAAGTGCGCAGCCATCTTTAGAATTCTGTCATGTGCATTGTAATGTTTGAAGCAGATAATTCCTGGTCTACTGATATTCATAACAAATGTCAGTAGACCGGGAAGATTTTACAATGAGAGGTTCATTCATTCGTACGACCTTGCCTTCACACTGTCGAAATACAAACAGAAGATAGAAGACAACCAGCACAGTGCTAAAAAGGGGGCGGAGCTACATAAAAATCATACATGATGTAGTGACAAATGGAAACGCTCTTAAGAGCGTCCCAGAGTGTTCATTTGTTTTATTTTGAGTTTTCATGACTTTACTGTTATTATAACAACTGGACAACAGTCATCATAGAATGAGTAAAGGTGTCCAAACTTCTGACTGGTAGTATGAATTGCAAACATGCAAATACCTTCAAATTATTTGTAGTTTTTATGTTTGTTTGTTTCTTCTTGAAGACGCTGTGGCTCCGCTCTCAGAACTGAGAATTGTTCTGCTGGGTTGGATTCTGTCTGGGAAGAGTTCAACCGGAAACACCATCTTCAATCATGAAATATTTCATACAGGAAGAGCAAAACACCATACTGGTGTTGTAAATGGCAGAAAAATAACCGTGTTGGACACCCCAAACTGGTGGAAGTATTTCTCATCTAAATACAACCCAAAATTTGCACGGGCTGGAATCCTGGAGAGTGTAGGCCAATCGCAACAAATGCAGTTCCCTCACGCCATGATCCTAGTGATTCCTATTGATACCTCACTCAAGAATGAACAGAAAAGAATCATTAAAGAGTACATGGCCACTCTTGGAGAAGATGTCTGGAGACACACCATAGTTCTGTTCACATGGGGTGACAGATTTCCAGACATCTCAATCGAGCAGCACATTGAGAGTGAAGGTGACGCTCTCCAGTGGCTGGTTGAGAAATGCAGGAACAGATATCACGTCTTTGACAACTCAAACAAGAATAACCGAGATCAAGTCACAGAGTTGCTCCAGAAGATTGATGAGATGGTGGCAGAAAACAGTCTGTTCTGCTTCAATACTCAATGTGCTGCAGAAAAAAACATTCATGAGACTGACACACAACAAGATGAGGAAATAAGTCTGGATGCTGACCATGTGCTGCAATTACTACAGCAGGAGATTATCAACAGGTTTACGGAAATCAAAAGTAAACTAAAACACTTAGGGATGGATTTCACTGGATGTATAGAGGCCCAAAGTCACAGAAGCATGTCAGAGCCTCCAGGCTGTAAGTCTCTATTTTATAATGACTTGCATTTTCCTGTCTAATACTGATAATATAGCTGTAAACAGCAATTAGGACCAAGCCGAATACACCCCTATTACAGCCCATTAATGTCATCATTACACGATTTAATAGGCTTTTTACCTGTGTATTGACTTCCTATTGATAGTTGTTTTTATTCTGCCATGCAAACAACTAAAGAACAACCTATATTCAAATTTAGCAATTAATTTACTACTTAGAGTATTTTAAATGTTAATGTGTTAGGAAGTATCTGAGCACTCCCTGTGCACTCTTTCCTCTTTCAGTCTCAGCTGATGAGAATCTCATGGAGAAGATAAGGAGAGAAGGGAGCAGATGTGAAGTAATTTTAATGGATGCACTCTTGAACATTCAAAATGAAGCATCATCTGGTGAGTTATTTGACGTTTTAAGAATACATGTTTTCTTGATCTGGATTTTCATTGCTTTAAGGAAATTGTTTTATCCTCAATTTTTATATACATTTTTTTTTTTAATAACTTTTGTGGTCTTGAACTAATTTATTTTCTTCCCCTAATATTTTATATTCACAGATTCACTTGAGAAGGTGTTGAGGTGGTTTCAAAAATGTGATGAATGCAGCTCAATCGAATCTGGAACAAGCTCCATCATCAGCAATCTAGAAGATCCAGAGCCCAGAGGCATAAAAAGACGTAAAGAGCAGTTTGCAGAATGAAACACACTGTTTAAACATGTTTTATGCACATGCTGTTTATAGCAAATACAAACTATTTGTTTTGAATGCATTTAATAATTATGTGAGGAATATATGTTAATATTTTTAATGAATAATTGGTATTTTTATATGATATCTAAAAACTGTATCACTTTATATTATAATTTTGTGAAAATTTAAAGTAACTTGAATGTATGAACAGTTAGGTTTAATTTCAGTTTGTTCTATTTTCCTGAGTCTATAGCTCCTGTTTCCTTTGTTCCCCTTAGCAGTTTATTTCATAATATAATTGTGTATACATACGTCATTGCATGATTACGTGAACGAACTAGTGAAATGAACCAGTTTAAATGAACTGTCTGGTGCCAAAAGTGGGTTTGCCAACCCTAAAACATCAAAGAAGAAGAACAACATTCACCTGAGACTCTGGATTACAGCTAATAATGTTGTAAATAATGCAGTTTCTTGCACAGTATAAATAGGAAAAGGACTGATGCAGAAGTTGAAAGTCTCCAGAAAGTTTTGTGAACACATTATAAGAGTTACAATACACTGGAAATGACAGTGATCATTATGATCAGTATGCTTAGTAAAATAAAGAACAAAGAGGAGCTCACATATCACACGAGTCACTTTATTAAACATTAAAGTCAGTTATGAGTAAAGAGGGTTATTGTATTTGATAGCTATGAATTTTGACTTGTCAGATTCAGTGACCATACTGTATCATACAGGGTCGTAGTTTGCGGGGGGATTGGGGCAGCGCCGATCCTAAACTACTGGGGGCCCTACGCAAAACTGTGTCGGCGGGGGGGTTATGAATGACGAGTTATGAATGAATGAAACGCCTTTGTCCGCTTGAGAAATGGTGTCTCTTCCGCAGCTCGGTACGCTTTCAACTCGTTTTTTTTTTTTTGTCTCGAGTAAGACACTGTATGACATTCACGTTACATGATTTGACTGATTTTTACGTAGAAAGGGCGACAGCGCACCGCATTAAAAGAAATGACATAAGAAGCTTTCATAACCGCTGGCCAAATTAAAAAAGAAACTAAAATTAAATCATCTTTGAGAGCAAGCTGGCCCCCTGGTGTTTCGGGGGCCCTACACAGCTTGCCTACTTTGCGTATAGGGACGATCGTTCACCAGCGCGCTCGAAAAGTGTGATCAGATTTGCGCCAGCCATTCCTGTCGCGAAGCTGATGGTAAAATGTGCGATCTATTTGAATTCTATTGAGAAATTGCTACTTTAAAATGCTATGGAGAAAGTCGAACATTATATAAAAAAGGCACATTAACTAAAAAGAGGAGAAAACATAGGCTAACCTTGCACCAGTAGCCTACTGACATATATTAAAATCTTTTTAAACTACTCCTGACCACCTTTACCAGAAGAATTTTTCACGTTTTATTGTAGACTTATTTATTGTGGCACATTTTGCTGAACTTGTTGTAGAATTTAGAATAGGTAATCTGTTAAGGGAATATATTATCCCCTATAGATTTATCAACTGTGGCATTGTTTCTAAATGTGCAGGCTGTTGTGTTTCATAACAAATGATATATAGATTAATAAAAAAGTAATTATTGGCCTGGTAATGAATAATAGGTAAGCCTTATTATAACAAATGCTGTTAAGAACTATGGTACATTTTCATAAGAGCAAGTACAAGTCAGAATCGAGAGCCATGTATAAATGGGTTCTAATGATGAGTGATGGAAAAACCTGGCCTTCAGACATTTAGAGACGGCACAGATAAAATCATTAAGAGCCTGATAAACGGTTAAGGAGTAAGAAATAAACAATATCAATATAAGAAAATGTTAAGTTAGATTGACTTCCCATGGCATGTTGAATTAGAATATTCAGTCAAACTATAGCCTATGAGTGCCTAAATAATATAAAATAGGCTACATTATACATCCTATGTAAACAAATAATTGTTAACTAGGATATTACTTGATTGCAGTTATGTTATCAACCAACTTTGCATGTGTGGATAATAGCACAAAAGACCATTTTACAAAAATAAAACACATAAGCAAACAAACATATTACATAAACCTTATGAAGGAGCATGACCCGGAACTCCACTAAAACAGTTCACACTTCAACGAAACTTCTCCTTGTTGTGAACTTCTTTACGAAATACTGTCTTACTAGAGTCTGTTCATGGGGTGTCCGGTCATTTGGGAGTTAATAAGACCTACCAGCGTTTGCTGCAGTATTTTTACTGGCCTCGTATTAAGGGTGATGTACTGACGGTGATGTGTCAAAGTACTCAATATCCTGCAGCCTGTCCTATGCGTTCACTTACTACACGATCTGTGGTAAAGGCGTTGTCCCAGTTTATATCTATTTTTGGAATTCCAAAAATTGTTCAAAGTGATCAGGGGACAAATTTTACATCTATTATGTTTCAGGAGATTTTGAGACAGCTTGGCATCAGACACAACAGGTCAAGTGCGTATCATGCAGAAAGTCAGGGCACTTTAGAGCATTTCCACCAGACTTTAAAGTCTTTGTTAAGGGCATATTGCACTGAGCTGAAGGGTGATTGGGAGGAAGGTTTGCCATGGATGTTGTTAGCTGCACGTGAGGTTATCCAGGAGAGTTTGGGGCTAAGTCCTAATCAGTTAGTTTTTGGACATCGTGTACGGGGCCAGTGGCAGTTCTGTGTGATGGTGCTTTATCAGAGGAGCCACCACTGAGTTTGATCCAATATGTGCAGGGTTTTCGCTGACGTTTAATTTTAGCTGGGGAATTGGCGAAAGAAAAATTTGGAAGAGCTCAGAAAAAGATGAAATGCTGGTTCGACCACAAGTCAGAAGTACTCTACTTCCTTTACCTAGTTCTCCTTTTTGTGCAAAATTTTCAGGTTCTTACACTGTACTTCAACAAGTGTCTGATCAAAATGATGTTCTTTCCACTCCTGACCATAGAAAGCCCACTCAGTTGTGTCATTTGAACTTATTAAAACCTTTCTATTCTTGTACTGTTACTCCTAAGGTTACGTGTTCTCCAGTTGCTGTAGCCAGTGTGACTCCAACAGGTGAACTAGGACAGGATGTGAAAGCACCAGGGGCCAGTTGCATAAACATAGCCACTATTTTAAGACTGGGTCTTAAGAACTGGTTTCACCAACTAGCAGTAGACAAGGGGTAATTGGTCGTACTTCTGAGATTCAAATTAGACCAATATACCTTTTTGTAACTGAATTAAAAAAGTTAAGACCAGTCTTGAAGAAAAAAAATTAGATGACTAACTTTTTAAGACTAGTCTAAGCAGTTCATGCAACCGGCAATCTCTACTATTACTACTAACACTCGGAAAGCACGCACTGTACGTTGGAGGCAGGCCAATCCTAATAATCTACGGCCTGTCCCTATGTCCTCTACTACTTTACTCTCTATTCCAATTGGTCTCTGGAACTGCCAGTCTGCTGTTAACACTTCTTGGAGGAGTTGGATGTGTTACTATCAAACTTTCCTGAGGATGATACTCCTCTGGTACTGCTCGGTGACTTCAGCATCCACCTAGAAAAACCCCAGGCTGCTGACAACACTCTGCTCGCCTCATTTGATCTCAAGCGAGTGTCTACTATGGCTACTCACAAATCAGGTAACCAACTGGACCTCATCTACACACGCTTTTGCTCCACTGACAACACTTTAGTTACTCCACTGCACACCTCAGACCACTTCCTCATCACTTCTAACCTCACACTAACTCCTGACACAGCACACATTCCTCCGCAGGTCACCTTTCGACGTAACCTATGCTCACTCTCTCCCTCTCGCCTATCCTCTATGGTTTCATCCTCACTTCCTTCACCCTCTCAGTTTTCAGCACTGGACACAAACAGTGCTAGAGGACAGCAGTTTGTAAGTGTTTTGTTTTCTGTTCTCATTAGATTTTAGCGCGGTTGTCCGCTTTTGCTTGACAACACTTTAGTTACTCCACTGCACACCTCAGACCACTTCCTCATCACTTCTAACCTCACACTAACTCCTGACACAGCACACATTCCTCCGCAGGTCACCTTTCGACGTAACCTATGCTCACTCTCTCCCTCTCGCCTATCCTCTATGGTTTCATCCTCACTTCCTTCACCCTCTCACCACTGGACACAAACAGTGCTACTGACACTCTTTGTGGAATGCTAGTGGAATGACCTCCCGATCTCAATTCGAACAGCTGAGTCTTTAGCCACTTTCAAAAAACATCTAAAGACGCATCTTTTTCACCAGCACCTGACCAACTAATACTAGCACTTACCTATTCTATTCTTTTCTGTTCTATTCCATTCTATTATTAAAAAAAAAAAAAAGCCCTAGCTACGTGTACTGTGCTAAACTAACTGAGACTTGTCATGGCACTTGTATACTGTTGTTGTTCTCTCGTTGGTCTGATTGCTTCTATTGTTCTCATTTGTAAGTTGCTTTGGATAAAAGCATCTGCTAAATGATTATGTCTTTTAGTCTCTCCCTTTTAAAAGGGGGAGGTGTTACGGGGGTTTTTTTGGTTCTGTGGTTGTTCCTTTCTATTTTTACAGGTTAATTGAATCCACCTGTTATCAATCACAAACTGGATATTTAAGAGACCAGGGGCCCGTTCTTCGTACGTCTTCGTAACTCAGTTAACTGGATTTGATTGTTGACGATTTCGCCTGATCTTGGATTGTTTGGTTCTTCGAAGCTCATCCCGGAGTTGCTGACAATAAAATTGACTGTCTTAATATTTTACAGGACATGGAGAAACCAGTGGTACTTTGTAATGATGGGGACACTGGCTATGCTGCTTTTATTACAGATGGCTGTTTGCCAGCGCGTTAACTTGGTCAAACAAACAGGTGAATCAAATGATGCGCTCCGCCTACACATATGCCAGGATATAACATTAGTTACTAACTTTTCAGGATAAAAGCCAAATATGTCAGTCTCTGAGTAACATGTAATTTATTTAAGCCACAAAAAATAAACTTCATTCTGTAAAATAA